TCACTCTCTTTGTTATGTTGTTCTTTCTTTTTCCCTGTTCCACATGACCTAGATTCACTGGAGGAATGTTCGGAAAATGTTAGGAATTTTCTTAAAAATATTCAAAAATTTAAAATGTTTAATATTTTTCATAAATTAAAAAAATGTTTGGTATTTTTAAAAAAATGTTGTGCTTTATTAAAATTGTTCGAGATATAAAAAATGTTCAAAAGTTTCAAAAATGTTTTTAATCAATATTTAAAAACGTGTTTTCAAATTGTGTTCATAAATTCAAAACAAATGGGAATTTAAATAAAAGTTGATGTTTTTGGAAACTGTTCATAATTTTTTTAAATGTTCCAATTTTCAAATTATTCTGGTGAACTCAAAAAAAGTTCACATATTCTAAAAATGTTCTGTATTTCCAAAAATATGTTCTCCCTTTAGAAAGTTTTTGCAGAATTTCGAAAAATGTTCTGTTATCAAATTTTGTTCTCAAAATTTAAAAAATGTTCGCATTTTTTAGAAAATGTTTGAGTTTTCAAAAAATTGTTATAAAGTGAATTTCAAAATGTTTTGACTTGTTCAAAGAATTGTCGGACTATCAAACATTTCTCACTTTTTAAAAATGTGTTCACATTTTCCAAGAAATGTTCGGAGAAAATACAAAAACTGACCGGATTCTGCATTCTTGTTACTAGTTCTTAAACTTGCGTGTTCCTCTTTGGTCTCCAACGGTTGTTAGCTCCACTGATTAGCTGCTCGCTGGTCTTCTTCACCAACTCTGGGTCGAATCCTGCAAGGGCGCGCTGCCTTTTTTCTTACGACGCATTTCTGCGCTACTTAGAAAGCTTGATTCAGATATAACAAATGCCACTCACGAAGGAAATAATGCAAGTTTTTTTCTGAACATAAAAATAATGCAGATATTTTCATCGTCACGACCCACTAGTCTGCACGGTAAAAACCTACCATGGTGCACAGGTGAAAAGGACCCGCATGCATCAGTTGACCGGTCCACCAGGGTGGTTTATACGATATCATGTAACACTAGGGTGGACCGGTCAACAATAGCATACAATAGTTTCTGGCGCAGATCACTACTACTCCGTTCGTTTCTAAATATAAGTCCTTCAAGAGATTCCAATGCGGACTACATACGAAGCAAAATGAGTGAATCAACATTCTAAAATATATATATACACATTCATATGTAGTTTGTATTAGAATCTCTAAAAGACTTGTATTTAGGAACGGAGGAAGTAGATGATAGCCATAGGTTAGATAGCACTGATAAGCGGGGGCAGTGTTTAGGACACCCGACACCAGACGCATCATGCGTTGAACGAGGCCACGTGAAAGCCTTTACGGAAGAGTGACTTAGCAAAAACCACAAATTAAACCGATCGTAGGCCTTTTCAAAATCAAATTTTAAAGAGAAGACCTTTTCTTTACATAGCTTACCATGCTTGCCACCTGGTGACAGTGACAACCTTATGCTTTTTGATCTTGAATTTGTGGATGACTTTGTGGAGTGGCCGGATTCCTTCGGGGATATGTATACCTTTGACGAAAACGTACCGGTTGGGTTTGGTCAACGATATGATTGGCTAAAATAATATATACTCTCTCCGTAAACTAATATAAGAGCGTTTAGATCACTTGCAGTTTTTTTGATAAAAGAATTGAAGACTAAAAAATGCCTATTTAGAAATGACAAGGAATGAGATATCCGTCCGATAAAATTAATATTCTTGTAGACACAAAACAATTCCTTGTCATATTTGTTATGAGCTAGTACAACTTAAGATCTCCCTCCGACTTCTCGAGAAATGGTTGCCTTGAAAAAAAAAATAAAGAGATGTCCCTTTACCTGATTTTTAAATGGAAACCCTTCTTGAAACAGTGTATGTGAGACTTGAAAGAGAGAGTAATGTTTCTGTAAAAATTTGAGCAGCTTCAACAATTATCGTACGAAGTTTATTCGCGGGATGAAACATAACATTCACACATACATTTCATTATACAGCCAGCGGTAAGAAAGAAGCTCCTTCGATGATTATTCTAGGAATGGGTAGTCGGTGTAGCCGACGACGGGGTCGGAGGTGTAGAAGGTCATCCTATCATACTTGTTTAGCTCTGCGCCTACCTCAAACCGCTTTGGCAGGTCTGGGTTCGCCAGGAATAGCCGCCCAAAGGCCACTAGGTCCGTGTACCCCTCGGTGACCACCTTGCCCCCTTCCTCACGGTCGTATCCACCATTAGCGATAAAACTTCCCTTGAACGCCTCTCTGTATGGCAGCAACCGCTTCGGCACCACTCGCCGCCCATCCACGATGGCCATCCTCGGCTCGATCATGTGGATGTAGAGGATGCCATGGTCATTGAGCTTTGTGGACATGTAGAGTGCAAGGGAGTGGGGGTCAGAGTCATGGCAGTCCATGTAGTCGGTGAAAGGGGAGAGGCGGATGCCCACACGGTGGCCACCGACCTCCTTCACAACAGCATCGACCACCTCAAGAGCGAAGCGACACCGGTTCTCAAGACTGCCACCATACTCGTCGGTGCGGTCATTCGCACTATCCTTGAGAAACTGCTCAATGATGTACCCGTTTGCACCATGGATCTCCACGCCGTCAAAACCTGCCACAGCCAACAAGTGAATTGCTTCATCAATTCTAGAATACATGACATCTTAGATATCTTTGCCACCCAGCTTTCACGGTTACATGTTAGTAAATACTAAGTCTATGGAGAAGATATATTTTAAAAAATCTGAAAAAATATCTACATGTGCAATTTGTACCCTAAAGGTAAATAAATGTATAAACTTTGTGTTTCAACTCAAAAAAATGTATAAATTTTCAATTTTGGAAAATAATCATGAAATATATCTAAAGGTACAATTTTTTTGTTAATTAGTAGCCAAAGAAAGAAAAAGTTCAACTGAACTTTTATTTAGGAAAAAACATGCGCTAAAAGTTGTTGGCACAAAGTAATTATTACTGTATATATTGACAGCATATATATGTGGTGCATACCAGCGTCGATGGCGTTCCTGGCGGCCTTTCTGAAGTCGTCGATGATGGCAGGTATCTCCTCCACTGTCAGCCTCCTCGGCGGCGAGAACTCCTCTAGCCGGCCATCGAAGCTCATCTGCGGGCCGACCCCCTTCTCCGTGCTCGACAGCGGGGCGGCGCCACCGGGCTGCAGCTCGAAGGTGGACACACGTCCAACATGCCAGATCTGGCAGAAGAAGAGCGCGCCCTTGGCGTGCACGGCGGCAACGATGGGCTTCCACGCCTCGACGTGCTCTGCGGTCCATATCCCCGGGGTGTCAGTGTAGCCCTGTGCCGTGTCCGAGACCCCTGTGGCCTCGGCGATGAGCAGGCCGGCGGCGGTGGCGCGCTGACCGTAGTACACGGCGGCGTGCGGCTGTGGCACGTTGCCGTAGGAGCGCTGCCTTGTCAACGGCGCCATCACCACCCTGCAGCATGAACATGGTCGTCAGCCGGCCGTCATGTCAGCCATGCATACATGATCCAAGAGTGATGGAACATGTACAACAAGTGGCCGACGGTTCCAGTGGATGGTACGTACCTGTGGGCGAGATCGAACTGGCCCATCTTGTACGGCGTGAGGAGAGGGATGGGCTCCATTGCTGGTAGCTGAAGCTTTTCTTGATCAATTAATGGCGGGGGAGGAAGAAGAAGACTGCTGAGTGGTGTGGAGTAGTGACTGCTGAGTAGTGGAGTTGACAGGAGATTCATTTATAGATCATAGGTATCCAAATCATATATTATCATGTGATATGGTTATATTAAACTAATGTGCTCCCGGCTGCTAATTGAGCCAACATACATCATGGGTGAGCTAAGCATGGAAGAAATAGGCATCTTATTATAGTTTTAGACGTGCTGTCACACATCAGAAGCACGCATCAAGTTCCGTGCCTTTTGTCTCCGCCAGAGACAGCGACCAATTATATGTACTCCTCCATCGCCTTCATCACTCCCCGTCTTTTGGGACGATGATGTCTATTATTGCAATCAAAACCAAGCTTTAAGTTTTGTGATTATATTCCTAATTAGGAAAAGCCCCGCCCAAATTTTCTCATAGGTGGGAAAGGAAAATGAAAGGAACTGTCCACAGGACTACATCCTCGCCCCTCTCTCCCTCCTCACTACCTACTTTCCCGGCGTTGGTCAGACGGTGCGGTGGACCGCAACTGCTTGGTTTTTCGCAGGGTTTTAGGTTTCCTCTTTGCATTGTAGATGGCATGTCAAAGGAATAAGTCCCTCCTAGTCCCTGTCAATGGTGCTCACCATTGTATTGAAAGTCCCTCATTTAGGGGTTGGCGGTGAAAACGACGACCAGAGAAGAAACGAAGCGTATATCCATGGTCGATGAAGCTTTCATCGGTCATACCCGAGCATGGGCTGCACAATGGAGGTGTCACGTGTTCGGCTTTTGGAGCCTTGATTGGCTAGTGGCATGCAATAAGCCACCTCACAATTGTAAATCGAAAACATGTATCTCTACTATTATAAAAAGAAAAGTTGGTGATGATGATGTGCCTGCCATCCTGCAATATAGGCCGCTTGATCTATATCTGACGGATAGGAAGAAACTATGATAATTTTGCAAAAATATACCCGCAACTCTCTTCACATTTACAGATAATCCTTATCTCCCACAAGATAAACTACTCATATAAATGCATCTTGATGTTCCGTGCAACGCACGGGCATCTTGCTAGTTAGACCATGAAATGAATGTCGAACGAGGCTTTCTTTGAAAAGCAAGGGTTATATATATGCCTAAATTTTGTGATGGGCATAATGCTGAACCTGGATGGACAGGCCGCACAACCACATGACTAACCACCACGAGGGCACGAGGCTTGTGCTTCGGATTAGAGAGAGCAGTGTAACCCATGAGGCAAAAAAAAAAAAGATTGAGCAGCTTCCTTTGATCCATTACATTTTGCACCAAAGTCCACTTGGCCCCTCATCCTAAAAAAAAACCACTTGGCCCCTACTGTAGTGAACACAATTGGATGCAGTTCTCAAAAGTCATCTTGGTTCCATTTGTTTATTTTCTCTTTGAAAACACTAAAAAAGTTTGTACCTTTGTGGTGTGGGGGGCTGCTGCTATGGCGGGGGCAATACATCACGTACGGCTTGCGTCAGTCACTCACTCACTCAGTCAGTCACGAAGATTCTAGCAAGGCGATAATACGTCGTCGTTATCCCAAGGAGAAAAGGCATTTGTTCATGGATGCAACCATCAGTGCATGCATCATAGCATTCACGATGAACATGAATAATAACCTGATCTGCTTCTATATATACACACTGCCTTCCCATTGATCAGCTGCATACGTTGTCACTAGCTCAGTAAGCTCACACTCACTCACTAACCCACCGGTCATGGCTCGAGAAGAAGGCGGCGGCGATCCCTCTGCTGACGCCGTACAGGACGGGCGGCGGCGAGCTGGAGCTGGCGCACAGGGTGGTGCTGGCGCCGCTGACGAGGCAGCGCTCCCCGGGGAACCTCCCGCAGCCGCACGCCGCCGTGTACTACGCGCAGCGCGCCACCGCCGGCGGGATGCTCATCACGGAGGCCACGGGCGTGTCCGCCGCGGCGCAGGGCCACCGGCCCACCCCGGGCGTCTGGACGGACGAGCAGGTGGAGGCGTGGCGGCCCATCGTCGACGCCGTGCACACCAAGGGCGCTGTCATCTTCTGCCAGCTCTGGCACGTCGGCCGCGTCGTGGGCGCGCTCCGCCCGGACGGGACGCGGGCCGAGACGGTGCCGGTGTCTAGTACCGGCAGGCCGATCGCCACCCCGCGGATGAACGACGGCGTCGAGGAGGAGTTCGCGACGCCCAGGCGGCTGGCTGTGGAGGAGATCGCCGGCGTCCTGGACGACTTCAGGAGGGCCGCCAGGAACGCCGTCTACGCCGGTACGCACGGACGAGCTCCGGCCTCTGTTCGCCATTAACACTTCAAACACTCTGCACTGTTCCATGCTCTGCTTTTAACTGTTCTACTCTGTTCTTCGTGCTCTGCTTTAACTGCTCTGTTTTGTCAATGTCCATGGCAATTGGATTGCAGGGTTCGACGGCGTGGAGATCCACGGCGCGCACGGGTACCTCGTGGAGCAGTTCCTCAAGGACAGCACCAACGACCGCGACGATGAGTACGGCAGCAGCCTCGAGAACTGGTGCCGCTTCACGCTCGAGGTGGTCACCGCCGTGGCTGATGAGATCGGGGGCCGCCGTGTGGGCGTCCGCCTCTCGCCCTTTGCCGACTACATGGACTGCCACGACTCCGATCCGCATGCCCTTGCGCTCCACATGGCCACCAAGCTCAACGGCGTCCCCTGCGGCATCCTCTACCTCCACATGGTGGAGCCAAGGATGGCGCGCGCCGATGGTCGGCGGGTGGTACCGAAGCGGCTGCGACCGTACCGGGAGGCGTTCAAGGGCACATTTATCGCCGCTGGCGGGTATGACAGGAGGAGGGGAATAAGGTGGTCGGAGAGGGGTACGCCGATCTAGTGGCATTTGGGCGGCTTTTCCTAGCGAACCCGGACCTTCCGAAGAGGTTTAAGCTCGACGCAGAGCTCAACAAGTACAACAGGGCCACCTTCTACACCTCCGACCCCATCGTTGGCTACACTGACTATCCATTTTTGGGCTGACGACTCATCATCAATTTGTGGGGCTAATATGTGTGACTTCCAGTACATATAGTTTCACCAAACATTTAAAATATGTACTCCGGCCGTTTCTAAATATAAAACCTTTTAGAGATTCTTATACCTTAATGTATGTATTTGTATGTGATTAGACCTTTTAGGGAGTATAGGTTTCCAAAAACAAAATATTGTATTGCTAGTGCGGAATTTCCTTCCCCTCAAAAGGATTGGATCGGAGCTTAGCTGTCTCCTTAATGTATGATATCTTCATTACTAGGAATGGGCGGAAGTTTAGCTATCTTTGAATTTGGATTACTTTGACCTTTATTTAATTATTTGCAACCATCCAAATTACCAAAAACATTACTATCACTTCACAAATATTTTGTGCTTATTCCCAGCTATTTTCCTTGCATTCAATTGCTTCTGCTCTTCGTTGGGTTTGATGCTCTTACTTTTGAACAGTGCAATAACAAACTGACATCGGCCTGTACCATTGTATTAATAGATCATAGTACATTTACAGCGAAAGCCGGGAAGGGGTGGGAGAGTACACAGAAAGTTTTGAAATTACAGTATCATAGAAAGGTGGAAGAACATGGAACTCCAGTCATGAAGGTGCATAGCTTGATCATTCGTGCATCTGTTAGACCGTAGCATGATGTTGTTAGCATCCCGGTTCATGTTCGTCAATGTGAGTAAGATGAGGAGTAAGGTCTAGGTTCAGCGAAGAGGCGCTTAGAACCCTGGCAATGATGGCGGTGTGGTGAAGAGTAGGAGGTAAAATAGTAGGAAATTTGTTGCAAGATTTTCAGTCGAGTTACGAAACCATAGATGTTTCGGGAGAATTGGACCCCTTTTGCAATGGCATACAAACATTGGATTTCACGGGGTGGATGGAAACGATCTTATTGATTAAATATGATGTAAATGATATCTATATTATGGCCATCGGTGATGCACATATGGCAGTATAGTCGGAGTGACTTTAGAATGCCATAATAGGCATGTATGATGAACTTTTTTGAGGAAGATATTTAGGCTTATGTGTAGGAGATCGAGAGAAAGAATTCCACATATTTCAATGTACCAGTGAAGTATGCACTAAGTATCAATGTAAGGCAAGAAAATTAGGAGTACAGAAAATGCTAGCAAAAGGATGAAATGGAATATCAAAGCTCAGGGCATGTACCTAGTATTTATTAATTAATTAACATAGCATGATGTGTCTAGAGTCAGGCATCACATAGAACACCAAGCCACATATTCCTAGGGAGGATTTTTGCACGAGTTAACCATCTTTTTTTTTTGCGGGACAAACAAAATTAACCAAATCTCCAACTAGATGAAACGCTGCATCATGCATGGTAGATATGTTTTTCTCCAGTTTTTCTGACTTCATCCCAGAAAATGCAACGTTCACTCTGAAGAAACTGTCATGCCACATACATTAAAAAATGCCATGAAAATCGTTCGAAATGCCACCTGTTCTTGACGAACGTTGCGTGAGACATGAGGTCCAAAAACTATGCCAGGCACAGTTCATGTCCCTGACTAATTTTGAGCTACACAGCGTTTGCGTGAGACTTTGAGTGCTAGAGCTAGTCAAACGTATACGGCCAGCCAGGTTGCGTGAGATTTTGCTGCTGCCCGGCTTGAACGTGCGTTCGATTCGATTCGATTCGATCCCCGGGAAAGGTTCCGTACATGGGACTGAACGACCCACTCCAGCATTCAACTCCCTCCGTCTAGCTTCTGGCACTGGCAATCGCCATTGTCAACGCCATGGCGCTACCGGATCGTCAATGGCTCCTCCTCCTCGTCGCCATGATGGCGTTCTGTGCGGGCGGCGCCTCCAAGGACATCACCGGGGGATACTTTCAATACGACTGCCCCGCGAGCACAGGGCGGTCCACCACCAGAGGCACCGCGTTCGGTGACAACCTGAGGTCGCTCCTCGCCGCCCTCCCGTCAGCGGCCGCGCCGACGGGCTTCGCCTCCCTCCGGTCCGGTCGCGGCCGCGCGTTGGCCACGGCCCGAGGACTATGCTTCGGTGACTCGCCGCCGCCGGAGTCCTGCCGCGACTGCCTGTCCCAGTCCGCCGGGATGGTCCTCGACGCCTGCGACGGCAACCGGAGCGCCGCCGTGTGGACCGACGGGTGCTTCCTGGCCTACACCGACGGCAACGCCTCAGCCTCAGCGACCAACGACATCTTCACCGGCGCAGCCCCTTCGTCCAACGACGTCTCCTGCGACGCGGAGGAGGTCGTCCGCCTGGCCCGGTCCCTGGTGGCCCGCGCCGCTCACGGCAGCTCCGGCCGGATGCTGGCCACAGCGTACACAACCTGCCAGGCGAACGGCGACACGGTGCACGCGCTGGCCCAATGCCCGAGGGACGTCGCTCCGGCGGACTGCGCCCTCTGCCTGGACAAGTCGGCGCGGAGCTTGCCGGACAGCCTCCAATGGTCCCGAGGCATTCCAGTAGGCGCGTCGTCGCTGCAACGCTACAACTGCACCATGCGGTTCCAGAGATCCCCTCCGGCGCCACCCATCGGAAGAGGAGCAAGGATCCGTATGTCAACTCTCTCCGGCCCCACTTAATTTTTTTCACGAGCCTGTGCTGATGGTTTTTCTTTTTGGGTGTGACTAGCTCTCATCTAGTAGATGAGAGTTAACAATGTCACATCTAACTCCTACACCATTTTATTTTGCGTGAAGATCTGTGAGGATTTTCTTTTCTTTTCTTTTTATTAATTAAATGGCATTGGTGTTAGATGTGACTTTGTTAACTCTCACTGTAGATGAGAATTAGCAAATCTGTTTTTCTATCGTTTTTTGTGATCCTCTTGTTATTAGTATTACTACTAGAATTTCCTAAATCATAGTGTGGTAGGATTAAGATGACAATTGCATGTGTGATCTTGATGGTGCATCTATATTTATATCCATATCTATATCTATTCCCGTATAC